GTGGCTTGCGACAAAAATTATTCCCATCTTTCTCAAATGAATGCAGATACCATCTCCCGTCTTTTTTCGGCGCCGGTTGTTGTCGGAAACCACATCATTGATTGGTGCTGCCACCAACAAATGTATGGCATTTTGTGTAAACAACGACCGATGGGCGAATGAGGGGGCATGAGAGGGATTGAGGGGTCTCAAAATATTTAAACAGCATAATGTAGAATCGTGTTCTTGTTGTTAAACAGCGTTGCCGGGTCTCAAGGAATTTCTCATCTTTCTGGGGAAAGTTAATCGATTTTATTATTGTGTGTATTTATTAGGTACCTACACACAATAAATATACCTACAATTTAACTTTTGTTTTGAATTTTGGTATAGTAGGTATATAGTTTTGGCAAATTGAAAAAAAAAAAATCAAGGCAATTAAATTCAAGACTTATCAATAGTAATAATATAACCAGTGCAATGGAAATTAAATTATCGATAATTTCTGAGAAATTGGCCCGAATGCATTTTAGTGCACGGGTGCCTTTTTCAGTTAAAAACGCATGAGTGCAAATTAGCAAATTTGTCAAAAATTATAAATACAAATATATCAGGGTTGCGTTTAGAAATAGCACTCTGGGTGTGAGAGTGACCCTAGAGTAACTCTAAACCGAGCTCTAAACCGTTTATAAATTGAGAGTTGCTTACTCGGAGAGTTGAGAGCCTAGTACTCATAACTGCGAAATTCGCATTTTTTTGACATTGCGTCGACATTTTGATGTTTTATGCGTGTATCAAACGGCAAATTATCAAAGCAATGTCAAAAAAGTGCGAATTTCGCAGTTATGAGTACTAAGCTTTACGCTGGAATCGTTCAGAAATCGAGAGTTGACGGCCAAGAGTGTGCCCAAATTAGCCCACTCAGGGACTGGGTTGAAAAACGCCCCGAGGTTTTTACCGGGTTTGACATTGACATTTAGTGCAACACACTCTAAGTGATGACGTCAGATCACTCTGACAAACAACTACTCTACCTTCACACTCCATTTCTAAACGCACTCCAGGGTGAGTCCGAAATAAGTGAGCATTTTGTTATGATAGATAGAGTACCAATAGGACAATCACTCTTTGCATAAGTACATGTGTCCTCAAACGTCTCGTTAAGAAAATACAGGGTGTTGAGATTTTCGGAAAATTTAGACTTGTTGCCTAGATTCAAAATGCATTTAGCGATTTTGTTCAAATTTTCAGAGAGAGTTTGCGATTTTTTCAAGAGTCTTTCTAAAAAATACGTTTGAGTTCCACTTTTCCAGGACCGGAGCTAGAGCGACTCTTATTTTTTCAACAGAGTGGTGTATCCAACAACAAGATTTTCCAAACAATACATTGATTTTTATATTTTATCTTGTGACGTTTAACATAGAACAAGAAAAACTCGGGATACCGTTTTTGTGGGAAATTAGGCAATGAATCAAAAAATAATTTTCAATTTGTCGAAAACCCTAGGGGCGTACCAATTTTTTTTTCTAAAAACATATCGGTTTATTAGGCAATCTTTCGCGAGGATAATCAAGTATAGTCGAGTATGCTGGGTTATGTGATGTGTCAATTGTGTCATACTTCCCTACTCCCTCTCCATCAAATTCTGGGCCTGCGAGTGACGTCACTATTAGTAGCTTATAATTTGTGCGTTCGGTATTTTAATCTGAGTTCCCGTGCTTGAATTTACCGTTCATTTATTTTAAAAGTGTACTCGGTGCAGGCTCATTCGCGTTCGTTTATTAAAATTTCGGGCACTCTGATACAGCGTTCAACTGGTCTGTTCGTTCGCTGATCACGTGATTTGGCTCCGCTTTGCACACGCACTACTCTTTGAGCATAATACCGAAGGCAAGGAATGATGACGTCAACCGCAAACCTCGATGAAATGCTTGCGATTCAAGCTGTGCTAGTCAGTTAATTTTTCCGTCGATTTCAAATGTAGAAAAGGTGATTTTCGGTCTGTTCTCTCAGAAGAAATTGAGGGTTCTTGATCCTCGATTATCCCAGAATTTGATGGTGGGGGAGTATGACACAATTAACACATCACATAACCCAGCATACTCGAGTATGCTTGATTATCTTAGCGAAAAATTGTCTATAGTTGCTATGTCGGTTTGTACTTAAGCTTGCAGCAAAGTGGGCCTTGGAGCAAGGTCATAAGCCGAACGCAAATCGAAGAAAAAAAATCCTTGTCACAGTTGTCAATAATCTCAAAAAAAAATAGCTTTTTTTGCTTTTGCGTCGATATTAATTTTGTTTTACTAATGAACCTTTCTCATTTTACCTATGCTGCGCGCGCCGCTTGTGGGTGACAGATAATTAAATCGTCAATTTACTGAACGCGGTCTGACCCTGACGTATTTAAGCTAACCTCAATAATCAATCAATATCAATCAAATTGATGAAAATTATTACAAAAACTGTGTATGATACAATGGTTCAAATGTGTTGTATGAGATCTTGTCAGAATAAGGCGAATAAGAAGTCAAACCTTTCTTTTCACAAGTTCCGAAGCAATCAAATTGTAAGAAAACAATAGTTACGTGCTTTCAACCCGAATGAAGACGATTTAAATTAGGACAGAGATTTGAGGGTTCGTAAAATAACGATCTCTATATCAAATACAATAATAATTGTACAATTAAAGGTTTGCTTCAAACGTTTTTGTCCAACGGTGGGTTTTCTTTCTAATTAATGTGAATACATATTTGTCATATTTACGTTTCAAAATAAACAAAAACAGAAACATAACCGAAATTGCACAATTTGACAAGTGGAACCAATCAAAGTCATTCCACACAGGTATCGCGCGTCATTATATGTGTCTCTTTCCTTATTGCAAATATCTTAATAAACTATCCTTCTTGTTCATTGCATGAGAAAGGTCCATTAACAAGTAGGTAAATTAGTAATGGACCTAAAATAAAAGTTGAAAAATCGGGGAAAAAAAACGGAAACGCAACGCAAACCGATTTTTTTTTTTTATATTTTAGGTTATAATTTTTCAAAAGTGACATGGTGACAACGGTCTCGATTGTAACCCGAACGCAAAAGAGAACACTCTGAGAGCTAAAACGAACTTTTCGAACGCGTTCGGAGTTCACCGAGTGTAAAACCGACCTCAGCCTAGCAATCGATAAGGTGCTTGCGGTACTAGTTGTATTCCTTTCAAGAGTTTGGAACACTCGAGCTACTCGCTCCGGTGTTCAGTCGCCCCCGATTTCGTAAGGATTAGATCTGTGGAGCATCAAATACTTTTCGGGAGGAATAAGCGCGTGAAGCCCCGGAGCTGTTCCGGAGCTCCTCCTAGGTGTGAAAGGAATACAACTATTGTGCTACAGTGTTGCCGTTTCGCATTTACATAGCAGACATGCATTTACAGAAATCTTTTTGACATTTTAAAAATTTAATTCATGTTTAGGAAAAGAGATGGATGACACGAGCGCTCCTAACGACGAAAACATTTATTGGTCTTTTTATTTTCCATAAGGTGAGGCATCTTCCCCTACTTCCTCAATCAACACTTAAATCATCATTCTATTTATTTAAATAAATGAAATTGATGATGATGGCCCAAAGACGAAACGTAAGATTTCAAATATGAAAATGTCATCTTGTAGAGTAGAAAAAGTTGTTACGATGAAGTGACATTTATTTTGAAATATCTTCTTGAATAAGTTCAGAAAAAAATATAATTGATTTTGCAAAATTTCGGTTTTTCCGGAAAGCGTTCGAAATTTTCCAAATGTCAACGTTCTATTTTATTGAGCGTTAAATTGCGCAACTTTTTCCTAAGCTAACCAACACTGTCACTCTAACCGTTATCCAGATCCTAATGCTATCCCATCCTAATCTTGGACAAAATGTCGTTGTGCCAAATATTTTTTTAAGGAAAAAAATTTGTTTGTTGTGTTGGGTATAAATTTTTATCAAATACCTAACAGACCGCTTTCGGTTCAGTGTGGGTCAATCAAATTACAAACGAGCAATGAGTAGCTGTTTATTGGGATTAAAATTCGAGCTTTCAGTAGCTATCAACTCTTCAACTATTCAGCTTGGTTCCGAACCCAAGATCTGGTTAATATACAGGGTGTCCCACGCTCCCACGACGATTTACCCATGTGATAACTTTGAAACGCGTCATCCAATATAATTGAAGTTTTGAGCATCTCTTTAAATAGTCAGTAGATGTGTTTTTTTCAGGAATTTATTTCTATTATGTGCAATAAATAAACAATAATTTCAGAGAAATTACTTGATCGGATGGTATTGTACATAAAGCGCATAGTTTGGGAGTTGCAGACAGTTTAAATATGAGAAACGTGGCCAACAAATATACAGCCGTTATAGTGTTGAGTACAAATGTAAAGTTCCTGCTCGGTCAAAAACCCATTGGCATAGTTGTTTTGTCAATGAAGAACTTGCTGCCCTTAAAACCTTTATTACTACCAAAAACTAAAAATAATTTGACAGCACTGACAATCAAGACTATTCACTAAAAATGGCAACCTTTTTGAAATTTAACCAATCTTGTATAGTGGCCGCCACAGATATTTGAGATTCCTACAAAAAATTATTTCTTTCTCCGCGATGCCCCAATAAAAAAAAATCGCAGCAAAAACTCTACAGATAAGGGTTAAGAATAAATTTAGACCAAGAGCTATGTTCTGGAATCGATTAAAGTACTTAATTTCTTGCATTAAATATTTGAAAGATATTTTGAGAAAATTGAAAAATAATTTTAAACATTATTTACAACAATTTGAACCGAATAATTTCAAACCAATATAATCTTGTACTCAAGTGGCTCCTGATACGTGCTCTCTGACTAAATGCAGGCCGGCTGAGAATATAAACATAATTTTTTGTAGGAATCTCGATTATATGTGGCGCGGACTATACTCTTGCACTTTCCAAGATAGCAATAGCGAGACATGGTGCTTTAGAATATCTTGTAGAACGAAGATCAATTCTCTCACCTGAATTTGAGTTTCCAATTCGTTGACGAGGTCAATTTTGGCGATGGCTATCTGTTCTTGTAAACGTCTTTCATAGCTTTGTACTACTTCGGTAAGCTCAAAGTCTCCTGAACTGACCTGCATGATTTAAAACAAATATCATTAACTACATTAAAATAAACCAATATTTTAACATACCACTTCTTGAGCAGCTGAACAAATACTCAAATGCCTATGCCGTTTCACTTCTATATCCAATTGATATCTCAAATCCGATATCTCTTCCAAATATTTACTTTCCACAGCCTTGATTTCCAATTTTTCTCCAATCTTAAGCAACGCATTGAGCTCGTTTCTAACCTCAATCTCAATATTTATCAGCGTCTTATCGCTAACGTCTTCTAAAGAATGTTTTGATAACTTTATTACAAAATTAGACAAGGTTTCTTTGAATTTCTCCACGTCTTCTTTTGATTTGAATATTTTGATTTCACCATCACCATCTGGACCGGGTTGACTGGATAGTAGAAAATCGCCGCTCAAATCTGCTTCCGAACTTGAACCAGATAGTTTACGGCTCTGTTGACTGAATACTTCTTCAGAGTAACTAAAATGTTTAAATAATAATAAATAAGACTAAAGTAAACAACTATTTGTTGCATACTTTTTCTCCAGTTCCACACATTTTTTCTCAAAATACTCCCTCAAGTCTTTTAGATCTCTTGAATGCTTCTCCACCAGCTCCTCTGAACTACGTTTGGTGCTTTCAAGTAAATCTTGAAGGCTGGCAATCTCATTTGCATAATCTTCGTTATTAAGTTTCATTTGGTCCTAATAAAGCAAACACAAATTAAATAATTATTAAAACATTCAACAGTTTATCTCACCTTTAAATCTATTACTTCATTTTGTAATTTTTCCACCAATTCTGAAAGTTTTTGTTTTTCAACATCAAGACATTCTACTTCTAATTCAGGAACAATTTCAGGAACTTCATTTTGTTGAGCAACAACACATTGATGGTTTTCAACCATTTTAGCAGTCTCTTGTAATTGCTGCTGTAATTGAGCGATTTCCTCTTTGAAACCATTCACTTCGTTGAGCAATTCTTTTTTTTCAGACAATGTTTGATCTAGAGATTCTGATAATTTTTGAATTTGGTCGTTTTTGACAGCTATGATACTGTTGCATTCCATTATCTACACAAAAGAAAGAACCAAAAAATAATAAATAAACTCAAAAATGGATACTAATCCAGAGGAAATCAATTCACAAGAAAGAAGGGAACATCACAGATATTGTTATTGCGGTCATGTGCTGTATTATCCCACGTAATGTGTACAACATTTTATCTTCATCTGTTGAAGTTTTTATTAATATTTATAATTAATAATTTTACTATTTATATTAGTCAGTTATAATGTAGATATAGATTACCAAGTTACCTATGATTAGTAATAAGTCCCAGGACCATTTTTGTTAACTTAAACATATACATATTTTGTTTATCTAATAAATGTGTTACCCTTACCTATGAGATCAATCTCATTTTCAATGACATTACTGCACTAGTGCGGTAACACATTTATAAAATAATTAGTACAAATTATGAATATGTAGTTTCCGAGGTAATTTCAAACAATGAAAGATATTACACGACAGTAGCCGATAAATAAATATAAATTATTGTTACGCAAATGCATTGACAACCCAACCAGGATTCTGGGAAATTAGTTGTTCATGCCTGGGAGCATGTCTTTTCTGGGAATTCTTACCTTATTATGGCATTCTTCTTGTAACTGTTTATATTCAGTAACAGAAACCATACTCGAAGTATAAGTAGGATTACTCATTTCCCTGAAAGAATCCAACTCTTGAGTAAGAGCATTAATAGTTGTATCTCTCATGGCCACAATTTCTACTAATTGTTTTACTTTTAAACTTGTACCGTCTTTGTCTTTTTCTAGGTCCAATTGTTTATCGCAAGTTGTTTTATTTGAAACCAAACTTTTATCACTGAGGTCCAAGTTTGCAAACAAATTGAAACTCTCCTCTTTATCATCTGACAAATCAAATTCGGTGTTTGCCAAAATTTCTTCTAAAACACTTTTGGCATTTCTTGAGCTATTTCTTGAGGGCCTATCCATATTATCCAGTAAACCATAGCTACCAAAGCTGCTTAAGTCTAACGAACTTGGTTTTTGTTCTTGGGAAATATTCTCCATGGGATGAAAGGCATTTTCAAAGGCGCTGGGTTGATTGAACACTTCGATTTCTTGAAAGGAACGATCATTTTCTATGCTGCCACTGTTTGATGTTATGTGTTCGCTTATGGAGTTCTCAGGGCTTGCAACATTGTCATCTTCTTGAGACTCCTAAATCAAAGAAATAAAATTTATCTCTTGAATTCAATTCCAGAAGGAATGTTATATATGCATTTGTGAATGTAATAGTGTTATCAATATATATTAGTGCGGACAAGTCGTAGCCGATTTTTTACAGAATCTGATAAATATATATTTTTTTAAATGTTGGAGGATCAGGACTGGCTGATCTGAGTCCTGGGTTCATGATGTAAGAAAAGGTAACATTAACCAGCAATGGAACATGTTTGCCAATAGTTTCACGAATATTTTCAACCACTGCTTTCCTCAAATAAAGAAATAAACGATTTGACTCTGAAAACTAATATGTCAAAGCCTAACATTTGTACACAAACCAAAGAGCAGATAAAAAGTGTTGAAAATAATTCTAAAAGTGTTAAAATAGATTCCTCGATAAATTCAAAGAGTAATAAAAATTCAGACACAATGAACATTTCTGACAAACTTTCCTCTCCTAAATACGAGGTACAATGTATCATCAAGCCGTTCGCTTTTTATGAAGACGTTTTGGGAAATATAACGTGATTTACCAAAGATTTTAATCAAAACGACTATACCTATAATTATTTTAGCAGGATATAATGATTTTTATAATAACAAAACCCCTAGGTTAGTGTATTTGTTAAGTAAGTTAAAGATGTGTGTGCATACTAATGTTGTTGTCTTATCTACACCTATATGTCATAGGAATTATTTTAAATGTTGTGAGTTCAATAATAAGTTAAGATATTTAGTCCACAGTTTTGAAAAATTTTCTTGTAACAGGGTTTCTTTTGTTGACATTTGTAATGCACTAGGTAGAAAGCATACAAATTCAAAGCTATCGGGACTAATTTTTGATGCTCTAAATTCCTCGAACAATAAAAATTTGATTTACATTAATATTGAACAAAACATGAATGCAAATGGTACACAAAGTGATAAAGTTAACTCTCCCCCGTCAATTAACCTTTCAAGTGTTTCATCTGTTGAGGGTCTCAACACTTCTTTCTCCGAAACAGAATTGCCATCCGTCCTCAGTTACTTCTTCAAATCCCACTAGCATAAATTTTCAACAGGAACTAGAAAACTTAGCCAATACTTAAGTGATAAAATAACAATTTTTTATCAGAATTGTAGAGGGGTTAAAACTAAGTTGGAAAAACTCAGGTTAAATATATTAAGTAATGATTATGATATTATAGCAATCTCTGAAACTTGGTTGAATGAGTCAATAAATAATCCTGAATTTAGTTTTCAGAATAGAACCACATTTAGAAAAGATCATGATAGATTAATAACTAATAAAACCCAAGGAGGAGGAGTATTATTGCTCTTGAGAGACACTTTCATAGTCTCGGAAGAAGTTAGGATTTTTGATGAGGATCAGGAGGCATGGTGTGTAAAGATAAAGATAAATGCTGTGTCTTTTCTTATTGTGGTAGTGGCTTACTTTGTCCCCGAGAACTCAAGTGATGTTTATGAGAAATTTTTTGAAAAGATGGAGCATCTTCTTGATAGTAATAATTCGGAATTTATCATAGTTGGTGACTTTAACATTCCCAGCTATGTTAACACTTTATCATGTAATAATAATTTAAACCTGTCAAAATCATTTTTGTCCTTTAATAACCTCATACAGTTGAATCATATACGGAATCATAATAACGTTATTCTAGATTTTGTAATTGCCTCTTTTGATAGTATAGCGGCAAAAACTACTAAATTGCACGCTTTTTATCATCCTATCAATAAAACGGATTCCTTACCTGCCGGATTGGAATTTGTAACTTTTTTTACAAGGATTCTCTGAACTGATTAGGATTAGGGGAATATGGTGCAGAGTGAAAAATGATATTTTGAAATTAAAGGTGCGCATCTCTTAACCCTTATGAGCAACATCTAAGGGTGGAAAAATGGAATTAACATGCGTAACTTGCAACGCGTCTTGCGTACTAAAAAGAAGACCTAAAGAGAATGAGCGCTTTGGACATGGCTGTGACTTCTGCAAACGCAGTTACTGTAAAACCTGCTCTGGTATTGCAGTGACTGAGGCTGACTGCTTAGTTCTGAGCCAAAGGAGAGTCACCTTCTACTGCACAGAATGTCTAAATGACCTTTCGAACTCTATAAAAAACCTAAATAGTTTAGAAAAATCATACAACAGAATACGGGAGGAACTGGTGGAAAAGGACGAACAAATTCAAGATATAACTGAAAAATATGACAACATGGAACAAGTGTGCGCAAAACTAAACAAAAAATTAACTGAAAAGGACAACTACATTCTGCGACTGCAAAGAGGCTCAAAAAGCTACCAAGATATGGCTGTCGAAGCGGAAGAAAAACTTCAACAGAAACTAGAATTTCAGGTTAAAATAATAGAAAATTTAAATAAAGAAACACAAAGACGAACAGTTGAGTGAGGAGCAAGAAAATAACAGACTAGAATTGGAATTTAAAGACCTAAAACTTAAATTACATGAAACTGAAGAGTTAAACAAGAACATGATTGTATCAATACAAGCTTTGGAAATTGAAATGGAAACCCTAATGAGCGAACTTAAAACTGGTAAAATTGAACAATTTGATTTAAAGAATAATCTTGAGGAACATAGAGACAAATTAAAGGTGCTACAGCAAGAAAATCAACAGCTAAACAAAAAACTAGAAGATGCATCTCTGCGCGAATGCACAATTAAAAACAGTTTCAATGAGTCACCAGAAGATACAAAGCACCATAATGTTATAATCTTGGGTGATAGCACGGTTGTAAACCTTCATAAATATCTAAAAATTCAATCCATGCAGAACTACAACGTGATGACTCTTGTCAAACATAATGGTACACTAGAAAACATAGTCCAGGATATTGACAAGTTTACACTGAATTTTACAAAGCAGGACTTTGTGGTGATATCGGGTGGTTTACAAAACGCTTGTCATGGAGGACAAATAGATGCCAAAGCCATTGAAATGTTGTCATTGGTAGGTCAGCGTACAAACTTAATTATGGTATCAGCGCCGCTCTGGGGAAACCGTAGAATATTAAACAAATTTATTGATAAATTTAATGTAACAATCTTTGAAAAATTACGTAACTCCTTTGCAAAATATTTAAATATTAATTCTTTTTTAAACTCTATGTACTTCATCTCTAATAAATACTTAGTATTGAGAAATATAGGTAAGGTTAAGTTAGCTGAACAATTTGATAACCTTATAGTTAATTTGGGTAGGAATAATGAGAGTAACAGTCCATCACATTTTTTACATTAAAAAGCAACGACATTAGTAAACATGCTAAAGAATCAGAACTCACATTCTTTCTACTTGATATACAGTCGTTACGTAATAAGACGGACGAAATTCTTATTTTACTTGAAAATAACAACTTTCCATCATTTGTTCTTCTAACTGAGCACTGGCTGTTTGAGGACGAAATGTGCTGTATTCCAGACTATGAGGTCATATCAAAATACTCTAGAAAAAACGGATATGGGGGGACACTTATATTAGGGCATAACAATGTTCTTTCTAACTACGAAATTGCTAATATAGACTTTTATAATAGTTTTATCTTAGAGAAACAGTTTGAATTTTCCATCATACATGTTAAAAAGTTAAATGTTTACGTAATGTGTATATATAGGTCCCCATCAGGAATAACTAATGTATTTCTAGATTGTCTTGAAGGTATTTTAAACAGGTTTCCCAATAACGCCAAAATTGTCATCGCGGGAGACTTAAACATTGATTATAAAGACCAAAATTCATCAGACACGAAACTACTGGTCAATTTATTAAATTCGTTTAATTTAACCGTCTTTGTGAATGAACCAACTAGAATCACGCAACACTCTTCTAAAATTATAGATTATTTTTGTAGCAATTTTGAGTGTGATAACCTTAGCTGTAGCGTTATACCTTCAGGACTTTCAGATCGCGAAGCCAAACTAATTATTTCTTTTGATAAACCCAAAAAAGAGCAAGTAAAACGTAGAGTTTATAGTAGTAAAATTTACAATAGCTTTAAAATTTCAGCCAACCAACAAAACTGGTATGAATGCCTAACAGCAGCAGATCCAATTCAGTCATTTCAAACAAAAATAAAAACGATATTTAATAAAACCTTTCCTCTTCGTAAAATTAAAGTTAAAAATAAGAAGAAACTATGGATAACCAAAGGTATAAAAACTTCAGCGCACAATCTAAGATCTCGCCACACAATACGTAAGTTTACCACTTGTCAAAATATTATTGCACACTATAATAAGTACCGTACAATTTACAGAAGCGTATTAAAAAAGGCAAAAGAAATTTATTATAAAAAAAGAATTAATGATGCGGATAACAAGGGCAGAGAGTATTGGAACATTATAAATGAATTCAGAAACGTTGAGCAAAAACATAAGAATAAGCTTAATATTAATCCGAGTGATCTTAACACATTTTACACTTCCATTGCTGCAACATTAACAAGAAATCTAAACTCCCATATTGATCCCTTATCATATTTGGAACCTGCTCAACACACGGAAACATTTAAATTTCAAAATACCGATGGTAATAAAATTAAACACTTACTAAAGACCATAAAAAAACAAAAATCATCTGGTACAGATAATATCTCATCAAAACTCCTACAAAATTTACCAGACAATGCCATTGACGTTCTAGCCTTAAGCATTAATAGGTCATTTAGCACTGGAATATTTCCTCAATGCCTTAAAACGGCCATGATAATACCCATTTTTAAGGGAGGCGATAACACCGACACGTCAAACTACAGGCCTATTTCGCTGTCTAAGTTAATGGAAAAAATAGTAAAAAAACAACTTTTAGAATATTTAAACACGCACAATATAATTAATGGGAATCAGTTCGGATTTCAAAGTGCTAAAAGCACTAACGATGCTGTCTTCTCCTTTTTAGAGAGACTTTACCTTAGCCTTAATGATCAGGAGGTTGCTGCGGCGGTGTTCTGCGATCTTTCAAAAGCCTTTGATTGT